GGGTACCCTCCCCCCCTCCCTCAGCCCCGCCTCCCCTGCCCCTAGTCCTTACCAGCTCCAAGTCAGCTGAAGCTCCCTGCTGCAGCCACTGGGGACTGTCCAAATCATCGAAGCTCTCCAAATCTTTTCTGAAGATTCGGAGAGCTTTGAATTTATTCAGACCTTTTAATTGATCCCCTGATTTGATTTGGATTCAGCGATTTGGCCACCGAATCAGGCCGAACCTCTTCCAAATCAAATCACCACCCAAAGCATCACACAGCCCTACTGCACAATCCCATCATGAAATGGCATCTATAGCCACTCCAATCAGCCTATATAAGAGAGACAGGAACTTGCCAGAAAAGGCACATCTGAACTATTAGCGCGAGGGTAAGGAGGGAACTGAGCCCTAGAAATAGTTGCCTAAACACTTTATTATCATAATGGGTCAATGCCAGCATGATGGCATAGAACATGCAGCTTATTGCTTTGCTTTGATTTTCATAATGTTAATTGGATTTGTATACTTCAGAATTGAAAAAGCAGGACATGCACCTGAGAGTTAAAGCTGAATAAATAAAACCCATGATCAGTCATAGTGAAAGAACACCCATGACAATACCCCCACCTCCTAGGCAAGAGGGGCCACGTAGGAGCGTACTCCCAAACAGCAGTATGAAGGAATACATCACAGGTGTTTGTTAAATCCTACTCTAAGTCTCCAGTTATAGTTTTCCACATGGTCCTCTACCTCTTCAGCCCCTGAAAAACAGGTTGTGCCAGCTTCCTTGCCTGGGAGTGTATTTTGTGTTTGCTCCTGAAGGGAACATGCAGTGGTATGGTCTTTGTCCCCTGAAACCAGAGCTTTCCAAACTTTTCATGTTGGTGACACACTTTTTAGACATACATCATTTCGCGACACAGTAATTCAGTTCCGGGGGAGGGGCCAAGGGAAGCAGACGTGAGTAAGGGAGCCCTTCCGCAAAATTTTCTGCATTTCGCGCGACACACCTACACACTGCCGCCGACACACTAATGTGTCGCGGCACACAGGTTGGAAAGCTCTGCCTTAAACAATCTCCTCTTTTCACACACCACCTCTTCTTTAGACCGCTGTCAGGTTTTGTGCACAAAGGCAGCACATCTATCGCTAGACTATATGGAACACAGGAGAGAATCAACCTAACATTTCTCGTCCCTATAATTTTCTCTTTTTGTACAATGGGACAGGATTTCTTGCATCTTTCTGTTAACCTGCAAAAGCAAACACTGAAGCACATCTGATTACTGCTCCCTGTATGTTTCTCAGGATCCTTCTCTTCCTATTGCATCCAACACAGGCAGCCTTAAAACTTTGCAATGGAACCTTAATGACTAAACTACATTTCACTAAGGCCCAAACCCATAAGTGTCCACTACAATCAGGTTTCCAGGATTTCACTTTAGCACAGATTTTTCCCTATGTTTTATTGCTCCTGCTGGAGATAGCCTCACTAGCGGTATCGAACACTGCCTGGGTGCCAATAGGGGAAGACCACATTATCCTGCTCCATGGCTGGCTTTATAAAGCACTCTGAAATTGGGTTATGTATTTCCTTTACTTTCTCCTCTTGTTTAATTACTGTGGGACAGAGGACAGGTTCTCAGCCCTGCAAAGACTGCTGTGGGAAGGAAGAGAAACTTGTTATTCAGGATCATATAGCGTGTGGTGTAGGAGGCTTTGAAGAAAGCTGCACCACCTTTTTCCTCTTCAGCAGTGGCTCTTTGGGAAGCTGCTTTGTCTGTATGCTCCCCCTCTAGCATTGAACCCAGGAAAATGTAAAAATAGCTGCAGCTAGCTCCAAGGGAAGAAAATGATACCCAGCTCTGGCCTCTCCCTTCATCCATCCAGCGAGAACTGAGGAGTAAAGCAGAAATCATCCCCTTCCCTCAGCCACTGGGAGCAGGCAACAGCTGTTTTTTCTTATCTTCAGAGTTTTGGGCCTGGTTTTATTTTGGTGGCAATTTTCTCGGTAATACATTTTTTTTTACACTAATTGAACCTACTGTCTGTTGAATCCCACCATACCACCATTTTCATTTATGAAGAAGGCAAAGCACTTTACAAACCACAGAGCACACAATCTCTCCACTATGCACTCACCTCCAGGATGAAACACAATTTGAGTAACACATTGCAACATTAAAGACTTCTAAGTCTGCATCATTCACAACTCTACCTGTTCCAGCCTGGGCTTTCCTCTGTGGTCCCAGTTAAAGTACTTATCCTTACTTACTTAACCTCTAGTCTGAAAAGATGTGTGACCTGACAAGCAGCAAAGCACATTGAAAGCTAACTCTCCAAGTCTAAATGCTCATAAGACCCTTGGCCAGTTTGCTAAATTAGAGCGCATACAACAAAATGTGACTGAAAGGATGTGACTAGCATGATGAACTGAGTGGAGTATTTGTAACTATGGCAGCCTGTACTAACTGGTGAAGTTAGACATTTCCTGTGCGCCTGGCATGAGATAGTTAGCAAGGAACCCTTAATGTTAAAATCCTAAATCCATACATAGCACCTGAGTAAGTGAGCTATTTTTAAAAGTGCTGGGCACCCAACAATTCCAACAGAAACCACACTGTGATTTCCTGTATTTTTGCTTTTATGTTAGTAGGGCTCCACCTATGTAGATCTAACTGCAGCATAAGTGCAGAGATTTGCAAATTAAACCAAAAATGCCATCTACATTGTTTTGTTCAAACTGCCTGCCGGGTCATGTAGGCCAAAACTAAAGATCTGTGGAGATTTTTTTTAAATGTAAAAAGAAAAAAACTTTTATTTTAAAAAATACAAACTTTCTTGCTGTAATTGTAACATTCCCCTCAGGGGCTTGGAGGTTTCAAATATGGGAAGAATACACTAATGCAAAATTAAATAAATAAAATAAAGAAGAAAGCAAAGAAGCTTACTTTTATTTTTTCACATGAGTGAAATGGGAAAAAAAAACAACAGAAAAAAAGGAAAGTTAATAGCTTGCTTGATTTTTTCTAATTCCTTCCATGTTAATAATATACAAGTTGATCCTACAGGAAGATACGTGTGCACAGATCCCTAATTATATCAGTAGGGCTCTAGACAGGCATGGGTTCCAATTGTGTGGGCCTAAAAGTATTGTCCTGTGACTCTGTAGGTGGAATATTATGGACAGGAAATGTCCCTAAAATAAGAATGCAGGTAGGCATTCAGTTTAACTGATTCACATTTACTACCTTTTCTCACATGTGATGCATACTTATTTTCCCAAATGCCAATTGCTGGGAATTGCTGTGCATATTATATGTGAGAAATGTGTTAAGAGCAGTTTCTGCCACTCAGCAAAAGTGAAGGTAAAGTCTGTAAGCAATCCACAGAGAATGGAAAAATAAGTAAGCATGGCTCCCTAGATGGTGCTACTCAGTTACTTACTACAAGGAAATTTTTTTCTTCATTTTACCTTTCAGAAACATGGTGCATATGTTATTACAGGGTGCACTGTATGTGAAATATATGGTATTTATTACTGTAAGAGGGACAGAGGCAGCTTCCCATCTATTCGTGGCCTCATTCCTTTTTCCATTCAACTGGAAGCACACACTTCCAGCCACTCCTCACTTCCCTTTAAAAGTTATTTCCCAAGACACAATTTTATTAAGGTATTATTAGTAAAGACTACAGGGAAGGTGAATTTAATGTTATTTTTAAGATGATAGCTTCCTTTTAATTAATTAATTAATTAAGTGTGGGCCATAATTAATCTGTTGATCATCCCCCTATATTTTGCAAGCTTATCTATTTTTTTTACATAGAGCTGAAGGCAAGCTCCTTGTAAATTTCACATCATTTCTGCAAAAAGTAATTGACAGTCTTGAATCCAAGGCAGTTTTTCATTCTTGATTACAATACAGGTTGAGGCCAAAATGATCAACTATAGAGTATTTTCCTATAAATGAGTGCCTTCATGGTAACAAGCATTTCCTGGACTAAGTGAATTCTGAGAGTGTAGAGCCAAAGGCTGAAAACCAATGCATTTATTAGCCAAGATATGTTTCATTATTGTGTCATGTAGGTGTGTGTGAAGCAGGCCCTATTTGATTCGGATTCAGTTTCGGCCCAAATCAGGGACAGTGATTCGATTCGTTGATTTGGATCGCTGTCCCTGATTTGATTCAGCCAAATCCAAAACTGAAGATTCGATGTTGATTCAGAGAATCAGTGATTCAGACATAGACATGGCTTTAAAAGTTTTTTCTACATACCTTGAAGTAGCAGGTGCGACTCATGATCGCTGCAATGCTGGGGCACATGGGGAGTCCCACAGGAGTGCAGGGGGGCCCTCCATGTGCTTGGCAGTGAACCAGGAAATGGACCGGAAGTACTTCCAGTCCACTTCCGGGATCGCTGCCAAGTCCTCCCAGCTTGGTGATCGGCCACAGGGGGACCCTGGGTGCCCCCCCTAACCCAGGAGGCACCAGTCACTGAGCTGGGGAGGCACGGGGGGGGGCCCGCCCAGCAGGCTCCCTGGTGGACCCAGAAATGGACCAGAAGTGCTTTTGGTCCACTTCTGGGTCTGCTGCTAAGCGTGCTGGGGAGCCCCCAATGCTTCTGTGGGAAACTCCATGCGTCCCAGCACTGCAGTATTCATGAGCCCCTGCTATCTAGAGGTATGTAGAAAAAACATTTAAAGCTGTCTCTATGTCCAAATCTCCAAATCTTTCTGAATCTCTCTGACTTGATTCGGAGAAATTAAAGGGTCCTCTGATTCAATTTGGATTTGGAGATTCAGCCTGAATCTCCACTGAATCAAATCAGGGACCGAAGCTTTGCACAGCCCTAGTATCATGCAATGTCACAATCAAGTTATTTTACTGTGAACATTTTTAATATCCAACTTTATGACCTTAGGGGACTGGACTAGGAGCAATGGTCTCAAGCTTCAGCAGGCAAAAATCCCTGGGGGGCACCATTCCCAGGGGTGTAGCAACGGGAGAGAGCAGGGAGGGCCATGCCCCTGGGCACCGGCCAGCCTGAGGGGTGGGGTGGTGGGCCCTCTATGGGGTACTCAGTTTTGTCGCCAGCACTTCTGGGTTCAGCGATCGGCTGCTGGGGGACCACCCCCCAGCTTAGCGATTGGCTGTGGGGGGGGGGGGGGGGGGGGGGGTTGCAAATATAAGCATTGGCCCCTGGGCTCCAGAGACCCACGCTACACCACTGACCATTCAACTTGATTTCACCCCTACATACACTACTGAATACAGGGCTATCCAGCTTCTATGTCTGTGCTGTGCTTGCCGTAACAAACATCCCTGGGGGGCATTCTGGTGCCCTCTCTAAATCAGTGCCTGAGGCAGGTACCCTACTTGTCCTCCCTAGTTACGCTAGTGCATTAAATGAGACTATTAATATATTGAAGATTTAGGAGTTAAAACACATGCTTAAGTCTTTGCAGGATTACAACTTTTATTTATCTTCTTATTTCTGTTTCTTATTCACACCCTTTCCTCTCCCCAAAATGGTCAACAAGGCTCTTCTCCCACTGACTAACTAGTATATTTTGTTTAAGTTATGTTTCAAAACTGGACTGGGAGGTAGGGCCTGACTTCCTCAAAGCAAACACAAGGATATGACAACTGTTATTGGAGCAAGAGCGTGGATGGTCTATAGGGAAAGAGGCAAGTGGGAAGAAAAAAAGGTTGAGGCTGTTTTTTATGCTATTTTTCTATTTCAGAAGATTGATTGACAGCTCAGTTCTCATTATTTGTTGTTTCTTTCCCCACTCTTTTATAATATGTAAATGTTGGGGCTTTTTCTGCTTCAGCTGATGAAGTGAAAATCCAAGATGGTCTATTTGCTGTTTGCTGCCAAACTTCTTGAAAAAACTCTCAGCACAGGGCCTAATTAGAGATGAGAGATTACAGTAACCAATAAGACTAGAGTGATTTGTATATTGAGATAACAACTGTATGTTTGTTTAAATTCTTAAATTTTAATTGGTTAATACATGGCAGTTAGCCAGATGCAATTGTAGCTGACATTACATATAATCATGAATTGTCCTGAAACACAATTAATAGATTTTAAGGCCAAAATAGCCAAAATGATTATCTACTCTTACTGGCATCTGTCAGGCAACTACGCTGTAGGGATGCTAGCTATACACTTTTCCGTAAGTTATATGTTCTGAATGTGAGTGTGTGATAATCAGTGACTGGGTATTTTTCAGAAACTGTACTATATATAAATTCCCATATTCTTGGGATTGGCTTTCAATCAATCACAGGAAGGTTATTCTTTATAATCATAATTCTAGATTGTGGATAACACTGTTTGATAAGCCTTTGTAGCTCCTGTACTCAGAATATTCAACCAGTTTGCTGACAAGAAAAAACACAACTATTTATTTTCTTCAGTTTTGCATATGGGACAAGATTTGTCTCATACAGATGACTGATCACTTCAGTTTGCCCATCATGGTGATGGGGCCATTTCTGTAGTAGGAACTATCCTCTGTTAAGAACTAGTGAAGGCCAACCCAATTTTTTTGATCTAGCCACTAACAAACTTTGATGACTTGGCTGCACTAGGACATGAATGTATTCCACTCCTGAATTTTGTTTATAGCTTTAGAAATAACTTTCCAGCAATGTTGCAAAGCAGCTTTAAAAGGGGGTGTGAAGTGACTGAAATACAAGGGAAAATATATATGTAGAATGTACAGGAAACCCTCGCTATTTGCAGGTTCGGCATTCACAGTTTTAAATATTCACAAATCCCGAACCTGCATTTTAAATACACTTTATACACTTACAGAAGCTCCTTGGGAGCTCTGCACTTGCTGCCACCAGGCTCCTGCTGGAGCCATCAGTGCCATGCCATGCTCCCCCCCGCCGCCATCAGGGGCACTGTGTTCATAAATGCAGTGCCTCATTCGTGGATTTTGCCATTCACAGGGGATTCAAGAACGTATCCCCCGCGAATGGCGAGAGTCACCTGTAGTTACTGGAGGAAGAAATTGGTCTGAACACCAGGATTTAACATCGTTAGACTTGCAAAGAGTGCCATGAGATATTTAATATCCAGAAGCAACTAAAGAATAGGGCTGTGTGAAGCTTTGGTCCCTGATTTGGTTTGGCAGAGATTCAGCCCATTCGGTGGCCGAATCTCCAAATCCATATCAAATCAGGAGACCCTTTAATCTCTCTGAATTGAATTGGAACCCTCCGAATCGATTCAGAGAGATTAGGAAAGATTCGGAGATTCAGACATAAACACAGCTTTAAATGTTTTTTCTACATACCTCAATGTACCAGGTGGCTCGTGAATGCTGCAATGCTGGGGCGGATGGAGTGTCCCACAGAAGTGCGGGGGGCTCCCCAGAGCGCTCAGCAGTGGGCCCAGAAGTGGGCCAGAAGCACCTCCAGGTCCACTGGGGAGGACCCTCCATGCCCCCCCAGGCTTGGCAACTGGTGCCTCCTGGTCTGGGAGGGGGCACCCAGGGTCCTCCCATAGCCGATTGCCAAGCTGGGGGGGTGCAGACAGGCCCCCCGCGTGCTCCCCCGCAGATCTGGAAGTGGACTGGAAGTATGTCTGGTCCACTTCCAAGTTCACTGCCGAGCATGCGGGGAGCCCCTCTGCATTCCTGTGGGATGCTTCATCCGTCCCAGCATCACAGCATTCATGAGCCATGCCTGGTACCTTTAAATCTGTGTCTATGTCTGAATCACCGATTCTCCAAATTAGCATCGAATCTTCAGATTTGGATTTGGCTGAATCGAATCAGGGACAGTGATCTGAATCAACTAATCATATCATTGTCCCCGATTCAGACCGAATCCAAATATGAATCGAATACAGCTTGTTTTGCACACCCCTACTAAAAAATTAATTTTACATTTCATCAGAGAGATGGTAATTCATGCAACACACTGGACCAGGATGTGGTATTGGTTAAACATTCTCAGAGGAAAGAGTTCCATTTAATTAAACAATTGCCATCACCTCTTTCTGCAGCACCTGCTTTTCCATTTTCTTCAAATGGCAGCCATCCCAGTTCTTGCCCAGTCAGCTGTATTCAAATGTTCTTGTGACATCTCAAGTCAAGAAGGTGTGGCTACAGATAAGTTTATCCTCTAGATAGGCAGAGGGATGGGATGGCTCAGGGGACTGGTTACAGGATACGGAGTCTTCATTCTCCTTTCCCAAATACAGATATTATTATTGGAAGATTGTTCCTTGGCCCATGTGAACTGGCTTGGTGATCTTATGGTGAAGCTTGTTCCTGCTTCAGACAAGCATTCAGATCAGGAAAAAACAATCTCATAATAGGCACCCTTGTCCTTAGGAAAAATGTCTCAGAATAAATACTCATGACTGGACAGTTAATGGAGACTGTATCCACCCCTTACCTTTCAATATTCTCTCCCTAGACTGAAGCACATTGATACGCAAGAAAGCTTTCATCACTGTTGCC